GTGGGGTAGAGAGAGAAGGGGGTAGAGAGAGAGAGAGAGAGGCGGGGGGAGAGGCGTGGGGAAGAAATGCGGGCTTTAACGTCCACAACTATGGTTTAGAGATTCCACCTTACTCCTTTATGATTATTGGTTACTAGGTCATTCCGGGACTAACACATGGTTTACTGTTTGTTATTAATAATTCGCTTTAGCCTAGGGATCTTTAGCAGTAATAAGAAAATCGGAGGTTAGGGGTAGGGAGAAAACCCCCGAGATTGGAGATTCGAGCTTACATCTTTATGAGGGTGGTTGGATGGCTGAATGGTTAGCGAGAGAGAGAGAGAAATGGGGTTTAACGTCCACTCGACACAAACTAGGTCATTTCGGGACTAACATATGGTTTAATTTTATTTCAATAATTCGCTTGCGCATAGGGGTCTTTAGCAGTGGGCGGAAACCGGAGGACCCGGAGAAAACCCACGAGGTTGGACAGGCGACCCTACTCCTTGTCACGTACAACCGGGGGTTCGAAACCACGACAAACTTTATGATACAGCGCGCACACGCTAACCATTCAGCCATCCACCCCCCCCCCCCGAATGGTAAGCGCGTGCGCGTTGTATCATAAGGTCTGACATTGGGTCAACTGGTGTGGTTTCGATTCGCCGGTTGTACGTGACAAGGAGTAGGGTCGCCTGTCCAACCCCCGGTTTCCTCCCTCTGCCAAAGACCACTACGCGCAAGCGAATTATTGAATTAAAATTGAACTATATGTTATTCCCGAAGTGACCTAGTTTGTGTCGAGGAGTGGACGTTAACTTCTCTTTCTCTATTTCGTTTCTTTTTTTATAGTTCAAAAATTTCGTTTTACTTGTCTTACTACTCAAGGATCTGGAAGAGGTGTTATATAACCCGCATTCTGGATGATGTTAGGGGTTGCCAATGAAACGATCTGTTTCGGCGAGTATTTGGCGTGAGGTGCACGGAACTGTGTGTAACCCACTAGAAGCATCAACGCTGATTGGTTAATTAAATGTCTGACGTCATAAGGTCAGACACATAACACATGTAGTGTAGGCCATCGAAAGTGTAAAAAAAAAACGAAACGAAATATAGATCTGTATTTTAATCAGATTGTATAATGTAAGCTCTGTTGCTTCGTTTCAGGCATTCAATATCAGTTTTCATTTTGATTTCAGTTGCTGATTGGGATAATTTGAATCATTTTGTGAGGAATGTGGGATGGGATCTAATTTTTGCTTTCAACGTATTTCTACGTAAAAATGGTCACTGGGACCCAACCAATGCTATAGAACTGTTAGAATATACCGTGAAACAGGGTTATAAACCGGCTGGCTACGAATTAGGAAATGGTAATTATTCTTATTTTCTGTTTAGTAATAATTTTAGTCTTGCCATTATGTAAAAGCGAAATGTACCTATATATATTACAAGCCCCTTTTTTCTGGTTTCAAATCTAATATAAATCACTATTTAGATGTTTATTTACATGCCAAGCCAACAATTGGCCCACTAGACTATCTGATGGTCGAGATATTAAATAGATTAGAATACCCACGCCATTGAAATTCAATAATTTAAAGATAGGTTCCCAGAAAAGTATTTATCGGGTGGTTATTTCCAATAAAAGTATGGCAATTTTGGTATATATGGAAAGTAGAGGTATCCAATCTTACTAGAAAAATACTGGATTCCCCGAAAAACACTCATGGAGCGTACACAGGACAAAAATGTAAGGGCTCCCCTAATCGACAGCCCGATGATTAGGAATTTCTGCACGCGTGATGTCAAAGGTCACACGCGAACATTGAGCGCTTAAGTTGATAAGACTTTATGAAGAGTTAGACGTACAACACTTTCTGAGATAAAAATGACGGAAAAAGACGCGGGTAGTGGATAATCGAGAATTTAATTAGGATTCGATGTTTGTAATAAATAGTAAGCGATTAAAGACAACATCGTCTTATGTATGCAATGAATTCTCCTCTAACTTCAAAGAGAGGTAAGTCACGAGTCGTAAACATGACCTGGTTTGATCAAATTTTTATAGCAGGTGATTCCGTCGCAATTACAATGTTTGAGGAGGATTTGAAGCAAAATTATGACAAATTAATTAGTTTAAATATATTTTAGTCCATATATACCATTTAATCACCCAGTTTGTACGCGGGAATGTATCTTTAACGTTAATTTAAGGCTAAATCTCTTTGTTAAGGCCAGCTCAATTTTCGTCAAGGTCGTTGAGATGTAAATAGGGTTAGGGCACATGGTTGGCGAGATTGTACGTTAGGTAAGCATTGGGGCTAGGTCTAGGGTTAGGATTAGAGTTGGGATTAGTGCAAGCCCGGTTAACATCTCGTGCCCTTTGGCCAAACTTGAAGTGGGCCTTATCAAATAGATGTATCCGTTAATTTAATCGAGAATTTGTTTGTTATCGTTGTAATGGTACTAGACAATCGAGAACTTCACCTAATAAGGATATTCTATTATATATATTTTAAATTTCAGAACCAAATTATTTTCGCGGTGCCGTATCGGAAAAACAGTTGGCGAAAGATTTTGCTGCATTTAAAAATATCGTATCGTCTAGTGGTGTACCGCCATTTTTAACAATTGGACCGGATGTTGGTGGCATGGTACCTGGTAGCAAGGCACCGACCTTCCTTGAAAAGTAGGTGATTTATATCACTCGGCCATCCTTTGTATAATAAAACATTCTTCATAGGCGTGGTCATGGCCGACGCCGTTGGTAGTTCGTTATACAGCCGAGGCTCGATGTAGGGCACTGGAGTCTGCTGAGGTTTGTCGAGTATGTTTTAAATCTGCCTTTAAATGAGCTAAATCGCTAATATTTTGGACCTAGAAATTGACACAAATGAGTCGTAACGCATATAATAATGTGATAGGAATATATATAAACTGATTTACATTCAATCGTTTCCATTTTTACTCTAATTTCAAATCAGTTACGTTCGGCGAAATATGTCAGAAGTCTCAATAAAATGAAAATTTCTAGCGTCTGGTTATTCTAGTCTACATAGTATTTATTGCGCATACTCTCCCGACATGAATATGCCGTCACCGTTTCACAAGACTTGTTGAATGTCTAGCCTCGTTCTTCGAGTCTCTTGTTAGAATGGGCCTGAATCGTATTATGGTACACGATTCGTGTACCAATGGTAAGATGTGTATTTTGGCTTAAATATTGGATATCAGAAGCCCATCTTTCCCCGGTAAGATCACAACATCAATGTTGATTTAAATTGACAAATAATTCGTGTTTTCAATGTCGAATACTTTGGATGATATTGAGTTAGAGACTTTAAATTTCATAAAATGTGTCATGTCAGTCATTCAGCTAATTTGAAATAAAATGGGGATTTATTAACCTACTTTTCTGCATTGTCCGAGCTAATGAAGATGGGCATACGACTAGTTCCTTTTAGAACGATCTCTGATCGGACGATGTCCACTGACCTTTCCTATCCGTCCCTATATAGCTGCAATATGAAAATACCTCTCGTCCCCACCTCTGGTCTAAGGCTATTGTAAAATCCTTACCTTCTATTTGTGACCTTGATTCTTCTTTGTTCGCCAACAGGAATCATTTGACAAAAATTTATAACAATTCAACACCATTAGGGATTAAATAAATTTGAACAGATCAGCCATTACGAGACTCGAACATGCGCAGACCCGATTTGTTTTTAATCCTATGGTTTTTACTCTGTAAGGCCTTTGTCGTAATTTTCTAGCTGTTATTTGTAGAAGTTATTTGTATTATTATTATATCTCGAGCTTAATTTCTGTTTCGTGCAACTAATTACTGTAAACACAACAGGGGCCCACTTCCACTCGTGGAAAAGTCTACTTTTGATTTCTAATCTATAGTCTGTATCAAAGTTGTACACATACGCTAACGCCCTCTGGTGTAATAATGTTGATAATTCATTATATTTTTCTGGACATTTTCATTTCAAGATTTTAACTTCAAGACTTTTTGAAACGTAGAAAATATTTTCATACGAGTTCAAATACCAGATTTTTTTTAGATACTTTCAGAAACCAATGAATTGATTTCTTTGTCGTGTAAAATTAAGAAATTATTTTTTAATTTTAATATTTAATTATATATAAAAGTTACCGATAAAACATAAAGTCAATTTTTTGTTTAAAGTGTTGATTTGGAGCATGAAATGTTGACATAAGAATGTAGAAACACGAATCATTAGTTTAGAATGTTGCGTTACCGATAAAACGCCGAAAATGAAACATAAAGTCAATTTTTTGTTTAAAATGTTGATTTTGTGCATGAAATGTTGACATAAGAATGTAGAAACAAGAATCATTAGTTTAAAATGTTGCGTTCATGTCTAAAATATTCAAACTGGAATGTAGAAACAAGAATCATGAATATTGTCCCATTTGGTCTTCCATAAAAATCACTGTCGTACTGTATTTAATATTTGTTGCATGTATTATTAAAGTTTTTTAGAGGCTGGTGGAGGTGATGTAGTTGACGTTGTTACAGTGCACCAGTAAGTAAGATCATCTAACATCTTTAATTTAATCACTCGAGAGATAAGATTTAAAAACAAATACCACCGTAATATGGAGGAGAACGCTAGATCGAAGACGGTCTAGCACAAATGACGTCATATTTCGTCCTATCAGTATTGTACTTGAAAACAACAAGAGAATTAAAATCTTTTACGGGCATTTAGTTACTTGATAAAGCAAAAAACTGTAACACATACTAATGGAAAACGGCTACTTATTTATTTTAGGCGACGTTAACTTGATTGAGAGAATACTCCTCGAAACGTCGCCCAAAATATATATATCTTCGATCGCAATAGAGAAATTGGAATGAAATTTTCAAATTATTCATTTTACATTATCTGTTTTCGAACTAATATAGCAAGTATCTTTAAGAGTTCGATGTTCAAAATATTTAAATTTATCCCTTTTCGTCCTTTTAATTTTCAGGTATTATACGAATGGTCGGAATACGACGCTAAAAGATTTTACCGACAGAAAAATTTTAGATATATTTATACCGGAAGTTGACTTGTTTGTCAAAACTTGTAACGAGAAGGCTCCTAATAAACAATGCTGGTTGGGAGAAACGTCATCGTGTGCTCACGGAGGGGCTCCACATATATCAGATAGATATGTCGCTGGATTCTTGTAAGTAGTTTTCTTTTGTTACAAATCTGATCAAAACACAGATCCTATTTCGTTTCGTTTTTTATAGTTCAAAATTTCGTTTTACTTGTCTTTACTACACTAGGATCTGGAAGAGTTGTTATATAACAGGGGTTCTGGATGATGTGAGGGATTAGCCAATGAAGCAATCTGTTACGGCGAGTTTTTGGCTTGAGGTGCAAGGACCCACTAGAAACAACACCGCTGATTGGTTAATTAAATGTTTGACGTCATAGACTCAACTCAAAAGTCGCTCGCATGACTTCTGACGCGACCTTCCATTACATCCGGTCAGATCTTCATGTAGCGTAGGCCACCAAAAGTATAAAAAAAAAACGAAATATAAATCTGTATTTTAAGCAGATTGTTTTGTTACATGAATATTGGAAATGATTGAAAATCACCAGGATTCTTCCTCACCTACATCAAGAACACCTACCTAATTATCAGACAAATCAGATAATGTATAGATTGCTAATAAGAATTGTTAACAGACGGACTAACGATCCGATGGAATTGTGATTTTCCTGAAACCGCCATAATGTCTTTAAATGGCATTTAAAATATACGCCTTCTCGCATCGTCAGCACATGGCATTTCTTCGTTTCATTGTGACCATTCCGTGGTTCTAAGTTTTACAGCTGAAAACAAAATACGCGGTGAATAAAGGAATCCCGATCATCAAGTCGTATTATCCCTACTTTTTTGGCCTTCGTCATTCGCCGTTTTAGGAGAATCACAGCCACCGTACGACCACACTAAACTAACAAGTAGTACAATAGAGTAGATGTATTTAAGATGGCGAATGTTGAGGTACCATGTCTCCGACTGACCTGATAAAACAAGTACGGCCTACTATGAACCAGGAACAAGGCATTATGGAATATCATAAATCGACGCGCAGTTGTCCAACGGACACGTATGTCAAGATTAATTTCGACCGTACCAACAATGGCGTAGACTATGACTTTCTTGAAGAGGGTCACCCCAAGATCAAGAACAACAAAAAGATTATGAAGTGTCTGAAACAAGTTCCTGCTTCAGAAATGTTTTGAAACGTTTACTAATATGTTTCACAGTTATTATTTTATTTTTATTTTTTACACCCAAGGTGGTTAGATAAGCTTGGATTATCAGCTTTACGTGGATTACAGGGTGTTTTACGACAAGAGTTTTATGGCGGTAATTATGCCTTAATAGACACAAACCTCAATCCTAATCCCGTGAGTTAATCAATTAAATAATTCGTATTCCATATCAAATATTATTATGAAGGTTTACAAACTATTCCACAAGATAGATGTCCTGGTATTGGGAAGCCGCGTTCGCTAAGTGAGAAAGACGCTGGCTCGCTCGCTTATGTAGCACCGTGGGCCTTTTTGTCAGACGTGGAGAGCGGGAATGCCAGACCAGACCCATGCATCTTTTCTTACTACACATTTCTGTAGCCGTGTGATCGTCTAGAATTTGTCTCTAGCTGTCTTTACTTCTGCTTCACGTTGTGTATTTACTTCTTACAGTTTCTTAAGACGTTTGTCTTACCAGGAATAACAATGCAACAGTTCGCTTCTACATTTTATATAGCATAGCCGAATACATGTATACAAGCACAATAAATAACAATACTAGCTAAAACCATTTCTCCACCCTAGCCAGCCTCGCGGCTGTCTAGGAACTCAGATGGAACCTCTCTGGACTCTAATGGAAGTCTAACTTAAAACTTTACTATGATTTCTTTTATAAGACTCCTGCATATCACGCACAGAAAGCCTGTCCATGGCCCTGAACCTGTGCAATTAACGATATGATTGGTTACTTTAAGCCAAATGATGCAATTAGAATAATTCCACTCACGTGTAATCTGTGGTAAATTATTGACACATGTTTTGGCTAAATAGCTCTTTTTATGTGTCAACTGTCAATTACAGACTAAGTTGATTTAGTACACACTATATATAATATATATGTGAATATGTGTGAAACTATTAATTTGCCAAATATATTAATTAATGAAATATAAAGTCATCTTATTTTTCTATTCTTTGTCTATAAATTTACAAACAATGTCGCAACGACTATATTGTTACACTTACCCGGAAATCTGGGTTTCTTCAAGCAGATCGGCTGATAACTGTTGTCTCTAAAATATTTAAAACGGTGGCTCAGTGAGTAAGAATTTGGCTACATTGAACGAGAATGTTCATCGCGATATTTCGGCGTCGTTCCTCCTTACGAGTGGTGCAGGGCGGATGACCTAACAAGGACTTTTCTCTAGTCCTTCGGATGCAACGAAAAACCGAGGTCCCGTTTACACATTGGCGTGCACGTAAAATATTCCTTGGCAGTTGGAATTCGATATACGAGTAGGCCATAGTGTCGCTGCCCAGGCAAAACTTCCTTCATAGCACACTGTATGGCGTATCCACGTCTTCATTAGCCCTTTCGGAGCAGAACAGTAGGATGATCAACCCCATTTTATTTCATTTCATTTTACATGCATGTGTACAGAAGACATCATCCGAACGAATCACGTGTTAGCAATACAAGCTTGCCCTAACCCTAACCTACAATCTGGCCAACAATCACGTGTCCTAACCTTATTTTCATCTCAATGACCTTGACAAAACATGAACTGGCCTTAACAAATAGATTTAGCCAAGCAATACAAGGAGCGTGATTAACTGTTGTAAATATAAGATTATATAGAGTTATATATATTGTATATCATCTGTTATAGTACTAATCTATAAATATCATTAACACTACCATACTAAAATCACTCTACAAATTCCATTATCAACACTGAGAACTATCTACTTTGAGAACAGATCTCTACTCTGAATGACCGCCATTTTAAACAATCAGTATTCTATTTTGTTATGTGGCTCTAATCCGTGTCACACTTTTCACACAAAATGACTCATTTATATAAAGCGGCCATTGTGAACCTCCCCAACCGGCCTACTATTAGCATCTCCCATAAAATATACAATATCTGTCATTGTAGGACTACTGGTTAACATTGATATATAAAAGACTGGTTGGTAGTCCCGTTTTCGATGTAACTCAAACTACAGACCCTAATGTTCGAGTCTACGCCCATTGTACAAATGTTAGCAGGTATGTTTATATTTATATACATTGGTGGCCTCCGTCAAATTAAAGGACAATATTGGCGTCGGTCATTATCACATATGCCATAGAACTGGTTAACACGTTGCCATAGAACTGATTAACAAGTTGCAAATATAATTCTTACACAGAGATCATTGCTACGATAGATTTCAAGAAACGGAATTGACGAAAGCACTGATTTATGACGAAACATTGAGCAGACCTTATCATTTAGTACTAACCACGGTATATTATATTATATATTACAGTAGTATAGGTTATAAACCAGGCAGTATAACGGTATATTTTTATAAACCAGGAAGTATAATGGTATATTATATATTACAGTAGTATAGGTTATAAACCAGGCAGTATAACGGTATATTTTTATAAACCAGGGAGTGTAACGGTATATTATATATTACAGTAGTATAGGTTATAAACCAGGCAGTATAACGGTATATTATATATTACAGTAGTATAGGTTATAAATCAGGAAGTATAACGGTATATATAATGAATATAGGAAGTGAAACAGTATCTGTTGATATACCATTTAGTTCAAGTAAAACACAACAAAGATATATTTTATCACCTGGAGATGATAATGGTTTAACCTCACAGTAAGTTCATTAATTTGAATAATTAGAAAATTATATCAATAAACCCCATTTAGTTCAAGTAAAACACAACAAAGATATATTTTATCACCTGGAGATGATAATGGTTTAACCTCACAGTAAGTTCATTAATTTGAATAATTAGAAAATTATATCAATAAACCCCCAACTCAAGTGCAAGAAAAAAAACCCAAAATGCATCCATAACAGGTTTCACAGGGACACATTTCCCATTTTAACTTTCAACGATTTATGTTCCTGTACCAATGAAACGTGTCAATAGAAATCCAGAAATATTAGTTAAATTAATACAAACTTGTCTAGAAATTCCTATAATTTGTTTAAAAATTGAATTGAATATAAATCACCTTAAATACACTCATATTACATTAGTATTTTTAGGATTCCAGAGAATAGAGCTACACCTTTAAACAAAATTAACCTCTTATTTTTTTTTAAAAATGCTTGATATGTTACAAAACTTCTCTTATATAATTTCAGATTTGTAAAACTGAATGGAGTTGTTCTGATGTTACCAAATGATTATTCGTTACCTCCCTTGATACCTGTTTTCAGCAACGATGCCCTTCAGCTAGAAGCGTATAATATGGGATTCGTTGTTATACCAGATGCCATGAAAGCAGAGTGTATGCAGACATGAAAAATCTTTTGCTGTAATAAAATGTTAAAACAGTGCTTGTCTGAACACTAAACGAAATGAAATGAAATGAAGGTTTATGGCACGTCAGCACCCACCGGGCTATATTGCGCCAAACATATGGTGATTTATGTGAGACAAGTTAAATAAATATCACATATAAAGTATTATATGCATAAATAAAAACAATATCACAGTAAATAGAATTAAAAATAAAATAAACCTTTTATGCATATTAATATTTAAAATACAAAAATGAAATGAAAAATATACAATTAAAATTTATGATAAAAACATGTCTCTTTTAAAGAGTCTAGTAGGTTACAATATAAGCCCGGTTGGTTGGACAAATAGATGACATAGAGACTGGCAACGGTAATATTTCGATCTTATGTACTAAACACAAAACCGCCAAATATCCCTGTACTCCGTCCGGTATATATAAATGAAGGCAGATCCGAGCACTATGGAGATGCTCGATTCACAGTCCAAAACGTTCCGAATTGACAGAATTGCAATTGGGTAACCCGGTATTCAGTCCCGTCAAATTTTTGTTAGTCCCGACTACGGAGGTGTTGTGCGTAGAATCGTGACGTAATTAAACACAACAAATATGTTGATTGAGATATTTACTTATTCAGTCGACGCATGCGTTGTAGTCCGAGATACCCCCTTTCACTCGATTGTCACCGATTATTTATGTGATTTGTTATTTTGATAATGAAAAAATATGAAAGATTTTTGGGTATTAACTGGTTGGTTGAAAGAGTTAGGGTGGGGGTAGATGGCCGAATGGTTAGTACGTGCGCGCTGTATCATATGGTCTGTTATGGAGTCAACTGGTTCCCCAGTTGTAAGTGGGAAGCAGTAGGGTCGCTTGTCCAACCGCGTGGGTTTTCTCCCGGTCCTCCGGTTTCCACCCACTGCTAAAGACACTTAAGGGCAAACGCATTATTGAAATAAAATTGAACCATATGTTAGTCCCGAAATGACCTAGTTTTTGTCGAGTGGACGTCAATCCCCTCATCTCTCTCTCTCACTCTTTTAATTTTATTTCATACCCGTGTCCAAAGAAAGTTCGATATTTTATCCTTCTTCAATGTCTAACAAAAATGTGAGTACATACGCACGTAGATATGTGGTTATGGCATAAACATTAACCGAAATAACCCATACATATCTCAGAACTCTGTAGACCCTGGGGAATAACTTCAAAAAACAGCTTGCAGTATCCATTACATGTAGCACATAATGAACTGTACATTGTACTTGTTCTTTATAGGTCGTCGTGTGAGAAACAGACTGTTCTAACTACCATTTGTTTGTTGAAAGCTGAGATAATGGCCTTCAAAGTTTGGGGGTCTTGAAAACACATTTCTGTAACTTTGTTAAGGAAATTTATATTTCCGATCAATTCTAGTATATGTTAATTAGTCAATGTACGCTAATTATCTCTCTAAACATGTAAATTCTTCAACAGGGCAAATGAAGATGGAGATAGAACATTTTAAAATAACAAAACGTCACATTTTGTTAGAATTAAAATGTTCAAGGATATAGAACGTTTTGCTAGTTATGATTGTGTGTAGCTTTTAAGTATCTGTGGACATAGAACAATACAATTTCGTTATTTTACTAAATGTTTATTTAATATAAAGCATTTATTAAGATGTACATTTAACTCATAAATAGAATAAAATTGCAGAATTAAAATATAATAAAAAATGCAGAATTAAAATCAAAATAAATTACAGAATTAAAGTATAATTAAAACAATTAAAATGTTGAGGATCAATTAGTGCTCCTATGGTTAGTAATTTTTCTATTCGGATAACCTAACAAAATTAAAACCGATTAATCTGTTAACTGAAGAGTTCTATTTTTGTCAGATTTTTGATCAAATGACAATTTATTGTATCTGGTTAATTTATTTTCACATGTTTTATACCTTTTAACGACGTTTTTCTTACTGAAACAACTTAATTATTCAGAATCTGTTCTTAAATCAGTTTTCACTTTTAAATACGATTTGTAATTTTATTTAAAAAAATACTGTATAAAGTGATATTTTCGGTTTTCCTAACCTACCGATCCTAACCGATTAACCTCTACCTTTTAACGGTAAGCCGGATAACTGTAGGAGCAGTGGAGCACTAGGATTAATGTTATTACTTAATTTTAAAGGTAACTTCAAAATACCCTTTATCTTGCTCAGTCATATAATTTTTTAACATACTTTGGAAATCAGATCTGTTCTCGGTGGATAAAGGGAGTCTTCTCTTAAGACATTTAACAGAAGGAAACGAGAGAATTTGTTGTGATTTTTCACGAGTTAATTGGCCCCTAATACAGACCCTCTGCCAAATTTATATCTGAAAAACAAGTTTTATAATATACATGAAATGGATTAGTAGACTTGATCATCAAGTATTTCAATTATTGAATGGTACTCTTAAATTTTAATGTAGCTAAAGACTTTTGGAAGTCATAAAAATTGTGTTTCCGAAGTTGGATAATGACTGTATGTTTTGGTCTGATCTTAGACATAGCTCTGACTAAACTGATTTGTCTATATACTTCACATACTTTTAACCCTTTTTCTAGATGGCTGTGGATATTATCTACCTCTTGTATGGATGAGTGTCCTGGAGTGCAAAATTTTTGTGTAATTGTGTCTACATTTGGGAGTTCCCTTAAAAACTGCTTCAAGGCGAAGCACATTATTGAATTTTTGTTTTGGGGTACACAAGAATCAGACCAAAGAGTGATATCTTTCACATTTGGATATAATTTTACTATTGAATCTAAAATTGTTGTAAGGGCGCTAGCATTTTTATTCCCACCTCTTGATGCCATACCTTCGCTCCATAGAGCACAATAAGCCTTTTTGTCTAAAGAACAATGTGGTGTTAAATTAAATACATTCAATTTTCTTTTATAAAAGAAATTAGAAACAGTTGCTCTTGGACAAGTTAGGACATTTTGTAAATCAAAACAAACAACAAGTTTCACCTGTGTACTTCTGTCTTCCTCGCGCTCTTGGCGTGTTTTAGTTTTATCCTTAGTATGCGCAGCAAATTTTTGTTCTAAGAGGCACCGTAACTTTATTACAGTTACTTTGTGCATGATACTCCATGCACATGTCACACCTGTCCTTTTTGGGCACATAAAATCCAATATTAAAATCATGATTAAAGGTGTATCTATAAGTGTTCAGTTTCACAGGAGCAACCCTATTAACAGCATATTTCTCAATATATAGGTTATACATCTTGTTGAGAGACAGATCAGCCTCAAGAAATTCGCGACTAGTGCTTTGGCGACAATAATGTGATGGTAAGCGTGGGAAGGATTTTATGTGCTCTTTTACTATGATTTTTGCTGACTGGACAATAGTAGATTTGGTGTTAGAACACAATGAATGAGTAAATCTGTAGCCCTTCTGCTAATCACGTGACCTTAAACAACACCAGCTATTGGCCAAGGGGTGAAGGGACATAGAACATTCTAATTCTAGGCAAAATATGGCTTTTGGAGATAGAACAAATAATTATTGCTTATATTATTTTACAGTGAAATAATAGTTCACATAACAGAGTGTAAGGAGATAGAACTCTTCAAGCTGAATCCAACGGTATCCATATCTCATTTTTGACCAATTTGGTAGTTATTACAATTTGTTTCTCACACGACGAGGTGTATCCTAGTAAACATGGC